GCCCCCGCGGTGGCCAGCGCGGGCGCGGACGCCGCGGCAGTCGCGGATCCGGTGGCCGCGGCCGCGGTCGCAACTTCGGCGGAGGTGCCCCTAGCGCCTCCAATTGATGGCCCCGCGGTACACCGTCCGTCGGCGAGCGACGGCCGTCCCCCGGCGGGCGGCCCCGACCCCCGCCCCGCCGCCTCCAGACGCGGGCGCGGCGTCCTCTTCGGGCGCCCAGTTACCGGCCTTGGGCCCCCCTCCTCCCGCTGACGTGGCGTACGACCGGGACCTCGTCCTCCCCGACGCTCCCCCGCTCGACCTACTGGGCCCCAAGGCCCCTACTGGCCGTGCGCAGGCCTCTCTGACTGCGGCTCCGCCGCCTCCTCCGGCCCCACCTGCCGCCGCCACCGATCATGCCGCGCTTCCCCGGCACCAGCCCGGCCCTGGCAGCCAAGCGGACCCGATCCTTGTGGCGGAAGCTTCGGATCGATCCGCGGACCTTCCCTTACCGGCGTGTGAGGTATGCCATCGCGGCTTGGCGGTGGATCGGCGCCAATCTCACCATTCTCTCTTGGATCAACGAGGGTTTTCGACTGCCTTTCTCTCGCCCTCCTACCCCGTTCGATATGGGCAATTCTGTGTTTCAAGGCGACGATCTGCCCATTTGGGAGGCCACTTTGGAGAAATACTTGCGGCTTGGTGCCTTACGGCCGGCTTCCTATTCTTCACATGTCAGCCGAGCATTTCTGCTCCCGAAGCCCGATGGCTCCAAGCGCCTGATTGTCGATCTCAGGCCTCTCAATGCGTTCATCGCGGATCGCCGATTACGGATGGCCTCCTTGCGCGAGCTGGAATTTGGCATGCATACGGGCGATTATATGGTTGCTTGGGATATTGCCGATGCCTACTTTCATGTGGCCTTACACCCAGCGCATGTGCGCTATTGTACCATACGGGTGAACGGCCTCCTTTGGGAGATCCCGGTGCTCCCGTTTGGTTTGAAGTCGTCCGCCTACGTGTTTTCGAAAGTGGTGGCAGTGCTGGTCCGGTTTTTGCGTGCCCCCCGGCTCAGCGTGCCCCGGCAGCCCCACTCGTGGTGGCCGGGTCTCGCTGCCATCTGGCGCGCCAATCTGGCGATCTTTCTGCTGCCCTACCTCGACGATTTCCTGGCGGTGCATCGTTCCCGCCGGGATCTCCGTCGTTTTGCTCTCAATTTGCAGCCCGCCCTGCACGATCTGGGCTTGCAGCTCAAGCCGTCCAAATCGACGCTCCTCCCTACCCAGGAGTTGTCCCACCTGGGCTTTGTGGTCAACTCCAGGTCAGCCACCTTGGCGGTCCCTCCCCCGAAGGTCGATCAGATTCGAGTCCAGGCCACGACCCTGCTGGCCATCACTTACCGTCAAGCCCGGTGCCTCAAGGCCAAGCTCCTCGCCCGCTTCCTGGGACAAGTTCAGTTTTTGGCCTTGGCAGTGAAGCCCGCCCGTTTCTTTCAGCGGAATCTCCACCAGGCCTTGGCCACCAAGACTACGTGGCGCAGCATGGTCCGCCTTCCCCGGGCAGCCCTACGCGAGATGCAATTCTGGCAGCGGCTACCGGCCCGATTTCAATCGGCCCCCTTCCTCCGTCCCCCGCATCAGGCCGTGCTGGCCACCGATGCCTCCCTTCTGGGTTGGGGGGCGGAGTTGACCGATCCAGTGCCCTTGGCTCCGCCCCACGCAGCCCCAGCCTTGGCACGGGGGTTCTGGTCCCATACCGAGCGGCTCCTGCACATCAACGTGCTGGAGCTCGAAGCGGTGATCCGAGCCGTCCGCTCCTTTCTGCGCCGGCTCCAGGGCCGGCATGTGCTTTTGATGACGGACTCCCAAGTGGTCTACCACCTGCTGCGATCGTTCAAGTCCAACGTCGATCCACTTTACAAGAGATTACAGCAGTTGTTCTACATTCTGGACACCGCCCGGATCGTGTTCCAACCCCGCTGGATCCCCACGGCCGACAACGTTCTCCCGGACACTTTGTCCCGACTACGCGATTCCGAAGACTGGCAACTCAACCCGCCCCTCTTCCGCCTCCTCGACTCCCTCTTCGGGCCCCATCACGTGGACCGCTTCGCCTCCGCCCTCAACCGGCATTGTCTTCGGTACAACTCGCGCTGGGGAGACGTTGGCTCCGAAGGCGACGCCTTCTCCGCACCCGATTGGTGCACCGCCAACAACTGGATCAACGCCCCGTGGACGTTGCTGCCCCGTGTCGTCGCCCTCCTGACCAGCCTCCCCTCGGTGCACGCCACTGTTCTGGTGCCCGAGTGGATCGGCAAGCCTTGGTACCGGCAGCTCCACTCCATCGCCTGGGCTCGGGTCCCCATTCCTCGGGGCCCCTCGACCTTCCTCTCCGGACGCTCAGGGCACCTGCCCCAGGGCCTTCCGAGGTGGCGCATCGTGGCGCTCCGCGTGGACCGCCCCGCCCCGCCACCTCCTATGGTGGCTGCTTTGCGGTCCCGCCAGTGGCAGCGCCTCGCGCGCTCAGCCCAGCTCGACCATCTCGAGCCGCTCCACTGAGCCCCACTGCGACCCCTCAAGACCCGCCCCCCTCCGGTGGATTCAAGCGCCCTCGCCTCCAGCGACCCGCGCCCACTCTACCCTTGGCGGGCTCAGAGCGTCCTACAGCGGATTTCACATTTCGGCAGGACACCACTGTTCAAGCCCCCCCTTCCTTCCAGGATTCACTCTCCACACTCTTCCGTCCACCTACCTCGTGGCCGCCCCTCGTGGACCCCTCCTTCTCGCCTCCGGTCGTCGCTGGCCTCTCCGCTGTCGAGGCCGCCTCCATCCTCCGGGCCCTGTCCACGTCCAACGCCCCATCGGGCCGCTCCAGCATCATCTCCAAGTTCAAGCGGTGGTGGCGGTATTGCCGCTCGGTCCCTTGCTCGCCGGTCCCGGCCCATCGTGGCCGCATCCTGCTCTACATCGACACACTGCGTCAGTCGGGGATCAACGTCCGCTCGGCACCGCAATATCTCGCTGCAATTACCACGGTGCATCGCTGGTTCGGCGTCGACAACTGGTCTGCTTCCTCTACGGCTCCAACGCGATTCTGGCCTCCTGGCGCCTCGAGATCGCCGACACCGAGGCCCGCGACCAGCCCACCCCCTTTCCGGCCAGCACCCTGTCTACCTTGCTGCACCGGATCACCCTCGACGCCCCCCTCCCTCAACTGCGCGCCGTCCTCCTACTGGCGCTGGACTTCGCCTTTTTCAACAGAGGGGACTCCGCCTTTCCGATCAAAGCCCACGACCTTGAGGTAGCAGCCGGCAAGATTATCTTTCGCGAGGTACGGTTCAAGCGGAAGCGCGCGGATCGTCTACAGAATCGAGTCCGCGCCTTCGACCCCTCGGGCATCCCCCGCCTCCTCCAGATCTTGGAGGCCTACCGCGCGGCCCGCTGCTCGGCCTTCGGGCCCCATCCCCCGCCCCCGGCCTTTTGGCAACTGCCGGGCGAGCCCCCTCCTCGGGCCTCCTGGGTCGCCACCATTTGCACCCAAGCCCAAGCCTGGTGGCCCGCACTCTTCGGCAGCACCATTCGCCATCACGATTTGCGGCGGGGTGGCGCCACTGCTGCGCATGCCATCGGCGTGCCCCTCGAGACCATTTGCTACTGGGGCGGCTGGAGCTTCGGCAGCGACGCGGTTTTCACCTACATCGACTTCGCGCATCCCCCTACCTCCGAGGATGCCGACTGGTTTGGGTGGATGCGCCGGGACGCGGCCTTCATCGCCGCTCAGTTCGCCAATCGGCGCTACCCAGCTCCGTGCGTTCCTCCTCTGCCTTCTTCCGAGGGGCCCACTGCCATGCTCGCCGCCTCCTCGCCGGACACTCCCATGCTAGACGCCCCGCTGCCCTCGTGACCGCGCCTCTCCCCGTCCCGCGGTCAAGTCCAACTTCCCGTCAACGCCAACCACTTCCGCGCGGTTCCGGCCGGTCATTTGACTACCGGTCAGGTCCTACCGGACTACACCGTCCTCTTTAGGGAAAACATCGTGGGTACCATGGCAAACCGGTGTGAGGACTTCCAAGGATGCCTGGAAAAGAGTGTGTCTGAGTGTTTTAGTGCTGAGACTGGACCAGCGCCCTGAGTGCGCCAAACCGTCCCGATTGTTAATCTGACATAACGAAGTATCGTTACAAACGGGTGGGCAAGGCCCCCCGAGATTTAAGCGAGATTTACGAAATGCAATGCAGTGAATAGGTTTAAATCGGGTACTGGGCCGTTGGGTGGGAACCTTTGAACGGCCAGCAAAGGTTTTAGTACTTGGCGCACTTGGAGTTAGATGGATGGCGCTGCCGGTTCTCAAGCTTGGAAAGCCAAGGCTCAGTGAGAAAGAGTTTGCCACTATTCTTAAAGTTGTGGTCAAGTTATGGGCAGCGCCTGGGCGAACCGGGCGCGGTTGGTTATGAAGCCCAGGAACCGAACTGAGCGGCTGTTTGCACCAGTGAAAAACTGGTTCACAGTGATCTGGGCAAACGGGGAACTTGGGACTTAAGGTTGGCGAAACGAGCTTGTGGCTATCTCGTTTTTCGCTCCCGCCCACCTCTACCCACGATATTTGGCTTGATTTTGTAATGTAAGGAGAGACATTTGGCAAACCGGTGTGAGGACTTCCAAGGATGCCTGGAAAAGAGTGTGTCTGAGTGTTTTAGTGCTGAGACTGGGCCAGCGCCCTGAGTGCGCCAAACCGTCCCGATTGTTAATCTGACATAACGAAGTATCGTTACAAACGGGTGGGCAAGGCCCCCCGAGATTTAACGATATGTACAAACGCGATGCCACGTCGGCATCCCGCCGGATGGCACCGCGTCCCGCCACGTGGGCCGGTGTTTGCAGGCATCGGCAGGCCTTGGACCGCCGACGCGGTGCGACGCGTGGAAACGCGCTGCCCACGCGATTGTGTAACACGAGTGGCTGTACCGTGAGCCCCGTTTTCTCCCACCAACTGCGCGTTTGCTGCACAGTGCTCCATCGGCCATGCTCCCCCGCGGCTGTGCGCGCTGCCCAGCAATGGCTGCCTCGAGTTCTCCGCCCCCCGCCCCATCCCCGCCTCCCAACCGCAGCGTCCGATTCAAAAATCGCAGGGGCGAGAGCCTCGCCGGCATCCTGGTCGATCCCGGGTCGCCAAACGCTGTCGTCCTCGCCCACGGCTTCGATTTATCAAAGGATTGGCTCCACTATCCCGTGCTGGCAGAGAGGCTGGCCGATCGGTCGGTGGGCAGCTTGAGGTTTGATTTTTCGGGCAACGGCGAGAGCGAGGGGGGATGTGAACCTGGAAATTTTTGGAAGCAGGTGGGGGATGTGAGGGCTGCGGCGGAGTGGCTGCGGGACGAGGTGGAGAAGAGGGTTGTCGGTCTGGTCGGTGGGTTTGGATTGGCTGTCTTTTCGTGTGCATTGTGTCTTTTGTTGTGTTTTTTTTGGTGTTTGATCCCCTCTGCATATGGCTTTAATGGTTTGATCGTCTACATATATCTTCAACGTTTTGATCGACTTCTAAACTGCGAGGTCCGCGCAGGGCGTCGGCTTGTGTTCGGTCTTTATCGTGTCGACTGTGTTTTGTTGTCTCCCTGGCTTGATGTTGTTTAGGGCTAATTTGCGTGTCGAATGTGTTGACCTGTGTGGTTGGCGTGATCTTTGTTGTGTCTTTTGTTGCGTTTGAATATGCCTTCAATGGTTTGGTATTTGCATATGGCTTCCATTTTTTGATCGATTTTGACCTGGGGGGCCCGCGCAGGGCAGAACACGGCGTCGGCTTGTGCACGGTCTTTTGTGTCGATCGCGTTTTTGTGCCTCGCTGGCTTGGTGTTATCTGGGGCTGATTTGCGTGTCGATTGTGGTACACTATGTCATTGGCTTGATCTTTAAATGGCTGCTTTTGTGTGTCGATCATGTTTTTGTATCTCGTTGCTCTATCGTCTTTTGGAAGGGGGGTACGCAAAAACAGGATCATCGCTGGATACAAGACAGCCAATGTCCTGGTGACATGTTCCTTACGTACTAGTATAGAGACCAGCAAGCAGGAAAACCAGCAGACTGAAGTTGTCCAATCATCTTAGTTTGGAAAAGACAGGCGTCATGACCAGCATGTCGTTCCCCACAATGCTTATATAGAAGATGCAATTCATTCAATTACCCGAAGCACGGAAGGCAACAGATGATGCCATGGGCGGCCCCCTTCTCAAAATTTTCTCTGCAAGACTCCTGTGAGATGCCATGCCACAAAAAGGGGACGCACCTAGGAAACAGCACACATCACACCATTTGAGATGGCCTGAATGGGTGGGACATGGACATTGTAAATTCTGCTTGCTGCAGTTGTTGGAAACGCAAGAAAACACAGTGCCATTGCACGTGGAGAGGCGATGGTAAGCGGGGACATGGACTGTGGTCTACAGATTTGCTTTCCAGCACAGTTGGGCCTCATGGGCCTGCAATCCTAATGAAGGAGGCAATGATTCAATGGCCCAAATGTGGAAAACGATACAGTGGTCATGACATGCGTATCTCATGCAGCCAGATTGTTGAACATCAGTCTTTATGGCAGTCTGCAAGGACCTGACAGTGTTTGGCCAGAAGACAAGGACACCCAAGGCATATACATCCCATGATACAACAGCAGGAGTTGCCTCAAAGATGCGCTTGTATTCATGTTGAACACACCTGTGACAAAGCAATGCCTTTCACAGCAGTCACCGAATTTCCAAACAGTTTGGACTTCACAGTTTGGAGCATGTATCAATGATGGGGTCTGGAGCCCACTTTGCCCATCGCTTGTTTGGCTATGACTCATGGGGTGGTTGCTACAATGTATGGACCTAGCTGGATCCAAGTGCAAGTTAGTTGACCAAAATGTTGACTGCATGACACCTGTGTGAAATCTCAGATCAGCACCACTGTTGCTGGGGGCAGTGCTTCCATCCTCGTTGGCTCGTGATTACCAAATGTAAAATGTGTGGACTTTGCGCAATTGCGATGGTTTTGTTTTGACTGGGGACAACCTAGACGCGTGCTGCCAATTAACCACATATTTGCAGCACAATATCTGGGAACAGCTGTTCTTTGTGGGGAAGGCTGAACGATTTCTGTGCTTCTAGCATCTCAATGGAGTCCAGCAGTGAGCAACAGCTATCATGGCTGCACTCGCCCTACCGATTCTATGTTTCTGTACTCCAGAGCTATCCAATAGCAATAATTTGCTACTTGATGCATTGCTGCATTGATGCATGCTACATTGATGCATGCATGTGTCCACATTCATGTTCATATTCATGTAGGTTTCTATTGTCTTCGTTTGTTTGTGTTCATATAGTTTCTGGTGCCAAATGCAGGTCACAGCAAGGGTGGAACTGTCGCAGTGATGTACGCCTCAGAGTTCGATGACATTCCATCGGTGGTCAACATTTCCGGCCTTTTTGACTTGAAGAGCATTATCACTGAGCGCATGGGGCCAGAAGGCTTTCAGCAGTTGGAGGAATGCAATGAACTGGAGATGGCGCAGAAGAATGAAGATGGGAAAGCTCTATTCAAATCCATCCTAACAAAACAGGTGAGGTGCGGATGCATCTGCAGTTGCTTTTGTGCAGTACTTTGTTCTCATTGACAGAGTGGTGCCAGTTTACCCATCGCCCTTTTCCGGACCCAGCTGCTGACCAAAAAATGCAAGAGTTTGTGTATTATGTATATTATGTATATATAAGAATTTGTGTATATAAGAGTTCATGCAAGAGACATGTAGCCACTAGTCAAGAAGAGATAGAGCCGACCTGAGCTCTCGCCAGCGAGCTTGCCAGCCAGCGACACCAGCCACAGAACTTGATATATGATTGCAAACGCGGACATGACTTGCGTCATGGAAGTGATGAAGCACAGTCCTTTGACCTGCTGCGCGACGTCGTGCATGAATTCGCCTAACCACTGTTGGTCTCATAGCATTCCCTGTGTTACAAAGTTTTGTAGCGTGGCCAAATCGCAGGAATCTGTACGCCTAACGCGCCCACCCACTATTTAAATACATGATAGTTGGGGAGTCGCTGTCGCAGTTGCCGCCCTCGCAATAGCTGACGACAGACGTCTGATGCTGTCAGACTGACGAACGCGCTGGCGCCCTGTTATGTACTGTCGCAGTCATTCGGCCATTATGTGCTCACATCAGTTGGTTCGGCTGTCACAGGCAGTGTTGTTGCCAGGTAGCACAACCCGCAGTATCCATCATGAGAGGTGAACAATTGCGCAGTCAAGTCTTCGAATATCGATCCCAAATGGCAGGTTGCTAGTTGTTCTGGAATATGTATGTAGGTACGTAAGAGTGGTCCCACATGCCGAAATTGGACAAGTCGTGATATCGTATCATACGTGTCGAACATATCGTGATATCTTAGTCATGCATTCGCCGGTTGGGAGTGGCACCAACAGTACTCGGAAGGAATGCGTGATAAGCTCGCTACTCATGTAGGGTATGTGTGTGAATACGATAGGTGTACACGATACGATTTAGCTCAAACATTGCTGGCATTTCTGGCGCACAATTTCTGCAATTCACGGCATTTCTGCAATGGAAGGTAGCGATGAAAATTCGGTTCAAGTTTTGTGTTGTTGCCTTTGGGTCATGGTTTAGCATTGTCCGTGCCAGCAGCCTACAAATTTCGCCAACTACCTCTTGTGAAACGGGTCTCAAACTGGATCAAATGGGTTGTTGTCTCCCAGACAAAGGACCTTGTAGAACAAACTGGGACATAGTGCTTGATAGTGCACAGTGACTATTCCAAGTAGCCAGTTGTTTAAGAATTAGTACCTTCAGTACTCGATAGCACACAACGAGTATTCAAATAGTATAAATTTTCTATTTTTAGTGACTGCGGTTCAACATTCTATTGCTCACCTTGCTAGCGAGGGTGTCCTAATGCTTTGGCTCCGTTTTTCGCCAGTGTGTCACTCTGACACACACAGTTGTGGGAAGTAGTGGTAGAAAAGAACTCAGCGCTTGGTTGTACCGTAGCATTCCACCATTTCCTGAAATACATACTGTACACGATATACATAATCCATAACACAATACTCACAATAATACGTACAATAATATGCACAATGATGTACAGATTGTGGCGTCTGCAGAGCCTGGACATGGACGCCGCCGCGCGGCGTATTCAGCGCACCAATGTGCTCACAATCCATGGCTCGGCCGACGACAGAAACCCTGTCGCCGAGGCGCACAAGTTTTCGGCCATTCGGTCCCACGACGTGGCCATCATCGATGGAGCGGACCACGACTTCAGCAACCTGGAGCACGGGGCGGCTTTGGTGGACAAACTTGTGGAGTTCTTGACGCGGGATGTGTGAGGTTTGCTCGCTCGGCTGCCTGATCAAGCAAAACTCATGGGTTTTGTGCATTGTTTCCTGGTTTCTTAGGTTTCTTTTGAACTTTTTTGCTTTTAGGGTTGTTTTGGTTCCTTGGTTTCTTTGGTGCTCTTGCGGCAGGCGGTGGCGCCCGCCATGGGCGTTTTGGAATCTAAACAATTTGGATTGTTGTTGGTATCGAGAATCTGCGATTTAAGATATCTGCGACGTACGAGATCCATCATGTCTTGGAGATCCCATGCCCATCTGCAGCCACGGCGGGGGTCTTTCTTTGCTCTTCCCAGCTATTGTGTGGTGCAGTTATACATTGTTCAATAGTACCTATTTGATCCTGTTTAGGAATAGGTTTCGAGCTCGCGGACCTGTTTGGATCAGCTGGTGATGGGCGGCGGGATAGCTTTCCAGTTTGTGCACTCCACATAATCGAATTGACAACACCAACGACTCGCGCAAATTCGGGCAGCTTGGGGGCGTGACTCATACTCCATTTTCAGTAAATCGAGAAAGGAATGGAGATGTTCGAAATTGGATGTTCGAAATCGGACATCATGTGGAAGGGCAAGATTGGCAGCGCTCCAAGACAGAACGGGTCGTACATGGCTGGGGAATCTACACTTTTTGCGTTGTGCACAAGTTTCGCACCATTACAGCGAGCCACTCAGCCTCCTGTGTCCGAACAGATGCTGCAGATCCAGCTCATTACAGCTCCACTGTCACCATGGAACCCCCCCTCCGCCCATTGGCTCGCGCAGAAATTAATCAGCAGTCACAACGCCGCATCCACCACTCACGACCGCCATCGACAAGGCATGGGGAGAGCTCCACAGGTACTGATTCATCAATTGTTCGTACCAAAAACTACGGCTGCAGGTGCAGTCGACGGATCCACACGTCACATCACACCACCGCCCTTTTCGTAGTCAGCCAAGAATCGTTCAGTTCGTATAATATGCAAGGAATTGACAAGGAATGTGTAAGGAATGCAAAGAATCATATCATGATGCCTGGACGCCGGCGCACAGCCCAACCTCATCCAGGCCTCCTGGCACTAGAGCACGGCTACACCCTCGTCGCCACTCCGTCCGCCTCTGCACTAAAGACAACCCCATGATATCCCACCCTTTGACAAAAAAAATCATCAGCACCTTTTGCACCTGTTTGTAAAGCTATTCCTCAAATGGTCTCCAAGTGCCTCACCAAGCTGTTTTTCTTTTTCTGTTTTTGTTTATTTCTTGTGATTTTTTTCTCCGCTCAATATACGACGCCAGGCCGCCCTCCCTCACTGAGAAAACAAGCTCGGCAGCGGGCACAGCTCCAGCGCCACCGTGGCTCCCCTGTCTGCCGACCACCGCACGCAGAAGCTCGCCATCAGCCTCAGCGTCACGTCTGCGACCGCGAAAGTGGTAACGGGCACCATGCACTTGAACAGCGGCTTCACCCAGTGGCCCCGCCACGAGGCTCCAGGCCCCCTGCGGTGGATGCAGGCGTCCGGGGACAGCTTGAGCGCGGCCTCCGTGGCTGCGGCTGCCAGGGCTATGAGGGCGGTGACCAAGGTGTGGGTGTGGCTGAGGGAGGTCTGCACGTTGGCGAACGTGTCGATGGAAGCCGCCGCGATGATGCCTGCAGACTTGGCACTGGGGATTGGGCGATGCTCTTGGCCGCATTGTTGTGGATGGTACGGTGCATCATTCATAGTTACGTGTATTGTATATAGCTATGGTCGTTGCTGTTATGTAGAGTATGCTCTTGCGTAGATTACTGATTGGTCTCCATTGCATATTCATCTATTCATAGTTTTGAATGAACAGCTGAAGCAATCATCGGAGTAGTGGTTTGTGGTAATTTGATTCATGCAGAACTACTGATCTACGTTGGATACAATATCGCCAAGCAAAATACTCTTGTCTTCGGACATAAAACTTATGTAGATTTAAGGAAATGATGTAATGAAATCACATAAAAATATGTCCATTATCTCTGACACGTTGCTCGCGTTTCCGCTCGCCCTCACACACGGTCGCTCCCAGGCACGGGAAGCAAGCCGCAACCGGATGATGTTACAGAATGATTGTTCCACTCATGTAGTGTTCACTGTAAGCGTGTCCAAAAGACATGTCTCTCCCCATCGTTCCCCATTTCACCATATTGCACACCATACTTAATTCACCATAAGGACTTCACCCTCCACACAATCACCTATATAACTTTCCCATCCTCACAATCTCCATTAAATGGAGATCTCAGCAACACAAACAGCGCATAAACATCACAGGAACGCGGCATGGACCTCTGAGGTGGTGCAAGTCGCGCGGCACGTGAGCAGCGGCCGCGGCTGAGCGAAACGAAGCGGCAAGGAGGCAGGAGAAGCTCACGCCCCGCGAGGGGAGCGTCGACATCGGGACATCACGGCGGAGGAGATCGGGCGGTCAGAGTGGTGGGGCGAGGATGTAGACCGAGACATCACAGGCCGGGTGTCCGAAGATAGCTGGTGGGATTAGGGTTGCTGCGAACTTGGCGGGAGCGAGCACCCCATCGAGTCGGACAGCGGGCGCGCGGCCCACCAAAGGGAAGTCGATACACGGCGCAATGCCCATTGGATTGGGGGACGCTTGGTGACGCAGGGGCCCGAGGGTGGCATATACATCTATGCGAGACCAGAGGTGTGGGTTCTTGCATTCGGACCCATGGGCGTCCCTGACTTTCGAGTTCGGGGATCCGCGTTGTACGAGAGGGATCGCACGTTAGACGGGGTTTTCGGGTGAGAAGTGAACCGACAGGGCGTACCGTTACCTGCTGAGCCGGGAGGCTCAGTCTTAAGGGAGGGGTTGCTGTTCGCGGGAGAAGGTTATTGGTGAATGGGAGGGATTATAGTAAAGGGTGCAGTTAGAAAATGGGAGCGCGGGGATCTAATGGGAAAGTTAGGGGAGTCGTGGGTAATGAAGTGGGAGTGAGTGGGACTGGGGTAGATACTGGGTAGGGACCCCAGGAACGCCGGCGGGCGGACGGGTCCAGGTAGGGCGGCTTAGAGGTAGGAGCGCGGGGAGCAGCGCCAGGTCTGGAGACGGTGAAGGGCTTAGAGAATTCTCCGGGAGTTCTAGGGATTTCATTGGAGTTGGAACCCGCCAGCATGGTCACGCTGTGCGCCATGGCTGGATTTGTAGCGGGAGGTGCTGTCCGTCAACGGGAACACCTTTGAGGGCAGTACTGTCGAGAACGCGCCTATATAAAGTTGGGCCGCTCTTTAATCAATGCCCGGGTTCTGACCAAGTCGGACGCAGGGCCGTGAGGGCCTGAATTGAACGTGCGACCTCCGCCGGGCATCCGCGAGCGAGCCGGCTGCTGTGCTACCCAGCTGAGGGTACCGACACATACACGTGTAAGGGGCGTTGGCCCCGTTTTCTCACACCAAATGCGCGTTTGCTGCACAGTACTCCATCGGCCATGCTCCCCCGCGGCTGTGCGCGCTGCCCAGCAATGGCTGCCTCGAACCCTCGGCCCCCCCCCCCGTCCCCGCCTCCCCGCCGCAGCGTCCGATTCAAAAATCACAGGGGCGAGAGCCTCGCCGGCATCCTGGTGGATCCCGGATCGCCAAACGCCGTCGTCCTCGCCCACGGCTCCAAATTATCAAAGGATTGGATCCACTATCCCGTGCTGGCAGAGAGGCTGGCCGATCGGTCGGTGGGCAGCTTGAGGTTTGATTTTTCGGGCAACGGCGAGAGCGAGGGGAGAGATGAACCTGGGAATTTTTGGAAGCAGGTGGGGGATGTGAGGGCTGCGGTGGAGTGGCTGCGGGACGAGGTGGAGAAGAGGGTTGTCGGTCTGGTCGGTGGGTTTGGATTGGCTGTCTTTTCGTGTGAATTCTGTCTTTTGTTATTTTTTTTGGTGTTTCATTCCCTATGCATATGGCTTTAATGGTTTGATCGTCTACATATATCTTCAACGTTTTGATCGACTTCTAAACTGCGAGGTCCGCGCAGGGCGTCGGCTTGTGTTTGTTCTTTTTCGTGTCGACTGTGTTTTGTTGTCTCCCTGGCTTGATGTTGTTTAGGGTTGTTTTGCGTGTCGAATGTGGTACACTATGTCATTGGCTTGATCTTTTAAATGGCTGCTGTTGTGTGTCGATCATGTTTTTGTATCTCGTTGCTCTATCGTCTTTTGGAAGGGGGGTGCCCCAAAGGGCCACGAAAAAGGGGCAAGCAAAAACAGGATCATCTCTGGATACAAGACAGCCACTGTCCTGGTGACATGTTCCTTACGTACTAGTATAGAGACCAGCCAGCAGGAAAACCAGCAGACTGAAGTTGTCCAATCATCTGAGTTTGGAAAAGACAGGCTTCATGACCAGCATGTCACTCCCCACAATGCTTATATAGAAGATGCAATTCATTTAATCACCCGAAGCACGGAAGGCAACAGGTGATGCCATGGGCGGCCCCCTTCTCAGAATTTTCTCTGCAAGACTCCTGTGAGATTCCATGCCACAAAAAGGGGACGCACCTAGGAAACAGCACACATCACACCATTTGAGATGGTCTGAATGGGTGGGACATGGACATTGTGAATTCTGCTTGCTACAGTTGTTGGAAACGCAAGAAAACACAGTGCCATTGCACGTGGAGAGGCGATGATAAGCGGGACATGGACTGCGGTCCACAGATTTGCTTTCCAGCACAGTTGGGCCTCATGGGCCTGCAATCTTAATGAAGGAGGCAATGATTCAATGGCCCATTTGTGGAAAACGATACACTGGTCATGACATGCGTCTCTCATGCAGCCAGATTGTTGGACATCAGTCTTTATGGCAGTCTGCAAGGACCTGACAGTGTTTGGCCAGAAGACAAGGACACCCAAGGCATATACATCCCATGATACAACAGCAGGAGTTGCCTCAAAGATGCGCTCGTATTCATGTTGAACACACCTGTGACAAAGCAATGCCTTTCACAGCAGTCACCGAATTTCCAAACAGTTTGGACTTCACAGTTTGGAGCATGTATCAATGATGGGGTCTGGAGCCCACTTTGCCCATCGCTTGTTTGGCTATGACTCATGGGGTGGTTGCTACAATGTATGTTGATGGACCTAGCTGGATCCAAGTGCAAGTTAGTTGACCAAAATGTTGACTGCATGACACCTGTGTGAAATCTCAGATCAGCACCACTGTTGCTGGGGGCAGTGCTTCCATCCTCGTTGGCTCGTGATTACCAAATGTAAAATGTGTGGACTTTGCGCAACTGCAAAAGTTTTGTTTTCACTGGGGACAACCAAAACATGTGCTGCAAATTAACCACATATTTGCAGCACAACATCTGGGAACAGCTGTTCTTTGTGGGGAAGGCTGAACGATTTCTGTGCTTCTAGCATCTCAATGGAGTCCAGCAGCAAGCAACAGCTATTAGGGCTGCACTCGATCTACCGATTCTATGTTTCTGTACTGCAGAGCTATCCAATAACAATAATTTGCTACTTGATGCATTGCTGCATTGATGCATGCTGCATTGATGCATGCTGCATTGATGCATGCTGCATTGATGCATGCTGCATTGATGCATGCTGCATTGATGCATGCTGCATTGATGCATGCATGTGTCCACATTCATGTTCAGATTCATATGGGTTTCTATTTTCTTCATTTGTTTGCGTTCATATAGTTTCTGTGCCAATGCAGGTCACAGCAAGGGTGGAACTGTCGCAGTGATGTAAGCCTCAGAGTTCGATGACATTCCATCGGTGGTCAACATTTCCGGCCTTTTTGACTTGAAGAGCACTATCACCAAGCACTTGGGGCCAGACGCCTTTGAGCAGTTGGAGGAATGCAATGAATTGGAGATGGCGTGGAAGAATGAAGAAGGGAAAGTTCTATTCAAATCCATCCTAACAAAACAGGTGAGGTGCGGATGCATCTGCAGTTGCTTTTGTGCAGTACTTTGTTCTCATTGACAGAGAGGTGCCAGCTTACCCATTGCCCTTTGGCTGACCTCAAAATGCAAGAGTTTATGTATTGTGTATATATTATGTACTTCCTCCGTCCCATATTATATTAAATGCCCTCTATTTGAAGTACAAAATTCATTACAAAGAAAACTTCAAAGTGCAAGACAAGGTCAAAATCAGAAAGATTGGGTCCCAAAACCCCTAACTACCAATTTTTAAGGGAAAAAAGTCAGTCCCACTCCTCGGAGGGCACCCTCGAAATTGCCCTTGGATTTGGAAAAAAATGGGCGCGCAGATTCCAATTCCACTGGATATCAGCACGGTTCTGGGTCACTCCTGTTCCGGGCAACCAAGGGGGTGGCTTCGCCATTGCCACAGTGAAGGGCGACATCCCTTGCGTGGAATTGCGCTGGTCCAACACGGCCGACGGTATTTGGATCGTCGTTGCCAAAGGCCATCGTCGCAACGTCGATGGTGCCAGAATTCGCTGTGACCTAGATCTGAGATGCAAGGACCTGCCACCAACTGAATAAGCCAAGATCCAGGGCGCTCAAGCCTGGGCCCTGTGCGCTCTACCACTCCAACGTATTTGTGCGGCTCGGCGTGGGCATCTTGCCTCAATTGATCCTTGAATCGAGGCCTTCCCGGGCAGCTTGGCCCATGATCCACGAGATACCACCAACAACCACCGCTTTTGTGCGGTCCACAATCCATCACCATCTAGCTAGTTTCTGTTCGTGAAAGAGACACGGCGTTAGCCGTCTAGCCGTTTGCCGCATGACTAGCCGTTTCAAATTCCACAGCGAACCCAATTTTGCCAATTTTGCATTGACAACGATTCCCTCAATCGGCCACCGCTGAATGCGATGATGGGCTTCACCTTCTCCGTCGCCTTGTCAGGGGGTTTCAAAATCACCCTCTGTTGTTTTGATAGCACCAACAGAGGACGAAAAGTCCTGGACCCAAAGTTTGGGGCCGGAAGGTAGCTCCGGTCCATCAGCCTAGCACTGAATTTCAGCTCTAAGCTACGGCGAGGTACATGATCAGGGCCTTCAGAATGCGATTCCTATCGCTGCGCTTCCTCACAAGCAAAACGCCGATCTTCTATCTCGATGGTGTGGATAGTTCTGCATGGGCAGCTTTGTTTCTCCGCCACGAACGCATGCTCCTCGAAACGACGAAAACGGCCGTTTTTGCGAAATCGTTGAAAAACTGATGGGTTTCTAGCAAGAGGACCCTTGCTACAAAGTACTGTCAAATCATCAATACTTAACAGATTGACTTCAAATTTTGACTTATACTCTTAAAATTTAGATGCAACTTTGGACAAAATTTCATTGAAAAAACTATAATATATGATGGAGAAATGATGCACCAAATTCGTAGAGGACATTTAATATGGGACGGAAGAAGTATATATTATGTATATATAAGAATTTGTGAATACAAGAGCTCATGCAAGAGAAATATAGCCACTATTCAAGAAGAGAAAGAAGCAACTTGAGCTCTCGCTAGTGAGCTTGCCAACCAGCGACACCAGCCACAGAACTTGATATATGATTGCAAACGCGGACATGACTTGCGTCAAGGAAGTGATGGAGCACGGTATTTTGACCTGCTGAGCGACGTCGGGCATGCATTCGCCTAACCACTGTTGGTCTCATAGTATTCCCTGTGTTACAAAGTTTTTATAGCGTGGCCAAGTCCCAGGAATTTGTACGCCTAATGCGCCCACCCACTATTTAAATACATGATAGTTGATCGCTGTCGCAGTTGCCGCCCTCGCAATAGCTAACGACAGATACTGATGCTGTCAGACTGACGGATGCGCTGGCACCCTGTTATGTACTGTCGCAGTCATTCGGCCATTATGTGCTCACATCAGTTGGTTGGGCTGTCGCAGGCAATGTTGTTGCCAAGTAGCACAACCCGCAGTATCCATCATGAGAGGTGAACAATTGCGCAGTCAAGTCTTCGAATATCGATCCCAAATGGCAGATTGCTAGATGTTCTGGAATATGTATGTAGGTACGTGAGAGTGATCCCACATGCCGAAATTGGACAAGTCGTGATATCGTATCATACGTGTCGAACATATCGCGATATCTTAGTCATGCATTCGCTGGTTGGGAGTGGCACCAACAATACTCAGAAGAAATGCGTGATAAGCTCGCTACTCATGTAGGGTATGTGTGTGAATACGATAGGTGTACATGATGCGATTTAGCTCAAACATTGCTGGCACTTCTGGCGCACAATTTCTGCAATTCACGGCATTTCTGTAATGGAAGGTAGCGATGAAAATTCGGTTCAAGTTTTGTGTTGTTGCCTTTGGGTCATGGTTTAGCATTGTCCATGCCTGCAGCCTACAAATTTCGCCAACTACCTCTTGTGAAACGCGTCTCAAACTGGATCAAATGGGTTGTTGTCTCCCAGACAAAGGACCTTGTAGGACAAACTGGGACATAGTGCTTGATAGTGCACAGTGACTATTCCAAGTAGCGAGTTGTTTAAGAATTAGTACCTTCAGTACTCGATAGCACACAACGAGTATTCAAGTAGTATAAACTTTCTATTTCTAGTGACTGCGGTTCAACATCCTATTGCTCACCTTGCCAGCGAGGGTGTCCTAATGCTTTGGTGCCGTTTTTTGCCAATGTGTCACTGTGACACACACAGTTGTGGGAAGTAGTGGTAGAAAAGAACTCAGCGCTTGGTTGTACTGTAGCGTTCCACCATTTCCTGAAATACATAATGTACTCAATATACATAATCCATAACACAATACTCACAATGATACGTACAATAATATGCACAATGATGTACAGATTGTGGCGTTTGCAGAGCATGGATAAGCGCATGTGCCTGGACATGGACGCCGTCGCGCGGCGTATTCAGCGCACCAATGTGCTCACAATCCGTGGCTCGGCTGACGGCGAAAACGCTGTCGCTAAGGCGAACAAGTTTTCAGCCATTCGGCTCCACGACGTGGCCATCATCGATGGGGCGGACCACCACTTCAGCAACCTGGAGCACGGGGCGGCTTTGGTGGACGAACTTGTGGAGTTCTTGACGCGGGGTGTGTGAGGTTTGCGTGCTCGGCTGCCTGGTCAGGCAAAACTCATGGGTTTTGTGCATTGTTTCTTGGTTTCTTAGTTTTCTTTTGAAATTTTTTGCTTTTAGGGTTGTTTTTGTTCCTTGGTTTCTTTGGTGCTTTTGTGGCAGGCGGTGGCGCCCGCCATGGGCGTTTTGGAATCTAAACAATTTGGATTGTTGTTGGTATCGAGCATCTGCGATTTGCGATATCTGTGACGTACGAGATCCGTCATGTCTCGGAGATCCCATGCCCATCTGCAGCCACGGCGGGGCTCGTTCTTTGCTCTTCCCAGCTATTGTGTGGTGCAGTTAGACACTATTCAATAGTACCTATTTGATCCTGTTTAGGAATAGGTTTCGAGCTCGCGGACCTGTATGGATCAGCTAGTGATGGGCGGCGGGATAGCTTTCCAGTTTGTGCACTCCACATAATCGAATTGACAACAACGACGACTCGCGCAAATTCGGGCAGCTTGGGGGCGTGACTCACACTCCATTTCAGTAAATCGAGAAAGGAACGGAGATGTTCGAAATTGGACATCATGTGGAAGGGTAAGATTGGTAGCGCTCCAAGACAGAAAGGGTCGTACATGGCTGGGGAATCTACACTTTTGCGTTGTGGACAAGTTCCGCACCATTACAGCGAGCCACTCAGCCTCTTGTGTCCGAAAAGACGCTGCAGTTCCAGCTCATTGCACCTCCACTGTCACCGTGGAACCCCCCCTCCGCCCATTGCCTCACGCAGAAATTAATCAGCAGTCACAACGCCGCCTCCACTACCCACGACCGTCATCGACAAGGCATGTTGAGAGCTCCACAGATACTGATTCATCAATTGTTCGTACCGAAAACTACGGCTGCAGGTGCAATCGACGGATCCACACGTCGCATCACACCACCGCCCCTGTTGTAGTCTGCCAAGAATCGCTCAGTTTGTATAATATGCAAGGAATTGGCAAGGAATGTGCAAGGAATGCGAGGAATCATATCATGATGCCTGAACGCCGGCGCACAGCCCAATCTCTCCCAGGCCCTCTGGCACTAGAGCACGGCTACACCCTCGTCGCCACTCCGTCTGCCTCTGCACTAAAGATACCCCCAAGATATCCCACCCTTTGACCTAAAAGAATCATCAGCACCTTTTGCACCTGTTTGTAAAGCTCTTCCTCAAAGGGTCTCTGAGTGCCTCACCAAGCCGTTTTTTCCTTTTTCCGTTTATTTCTTGTGATTTTCTCCTCCGCTCAATATACGACGCCAGGCCGCCTTCTCTCACTGAGAAAACAGGCTCGGCAGCGGGCACAGCTCCAGCGCCACCGTGGCTCCCCTGTCCGCCGACCACCGCACGCAGAAGCTCGCCATCAGCCTCAGCGTCACGTCCGCAACCGCGAAAGTGGTAACGGGCATCATGCACTTGAACAGCGGCTTCACCCAGTGGCCCCGCCAGGCGGCTCCTGGCCCCTTGCGGTGGATGCAGGCGTCCGCGGACAGCTTGAGCGCGGCCTCAGCGGCTGCGGCTGCCAGGGCTATGAGGGCAGTGACCCAGGTGTGTGTCTGGCCGAGGGAGGTCTGTACGTTGGCGAAGGTCCCAATGGAAGCTGCCACGATGATGCCTGCAGGCTTGGCACTGGGGATTGGGCGATGCACTTGGCTGCATTGTTGTGGATGGCATGGTGCATCACTCATAGTCACGTGGACTACATATATAGCTATGGTGGTTGCTGTTCCGCAGAATATGCTTCTAAGTAGGTTATTGCTTGTCTGCATTGCATATGCATCTATTCACAGTTTTGAATGAAACAGCTGAAGCAGTCATCGGAATAGTGGTTTGTTGTGGTTTGATTCATGCAGACTACTGGTCTACCTTGGATACAATATCGCCAAGAACAAACACTCTTGTCTCCAGACATAATGGAGATCTTAGCAACACAAACAGCACATAAATGTCGCAGGAACGCGGCATCGTATTACCAATATGTGTTGGTCGAAATCCGTGTATGCGTGCGCACAAGCACAAGCACACTCAATGACATCTTCTTCTATCCTTTCTCTCTGCCCTTTCCTCGAAATTTCCGTTTTCTTCTAACACTTTGTACATGATGAAAACCCCTCGCAAAATCCAGTACTTCGCAATGATCTGTTGACTTCTAAAGTGCATAACTGCTTCACAAGTACAATAGAGTACAGCGAAGTGCTGGACGTACAACAATGTATATTTTTGCGTCAAAATCTTCCCAATCACAAAGTCAAAGCTCCCCTCCCGAGCCCAGCTCACCGACGTAGGCCGCCGACGCCGACGCCAGCGCATCAGCAAGTGAAAGCTGCGTCTCCTCCTCCCTAGCCAGCAAGGCCTCCGCGACCTTCCTGGAGGCCACCAGCTTGAGCAGCCAGTCGTCCGGACATCGATGGCTAATGCCGGCAAGGAGCCGCGAGGCGGCCACAAGGACTACCAGGCCGTGCGCCGACCCCAGGGCGTCGCCCAGCTGGAAGATGAGAAACCAACCGTAGAGGGAGTCCAGGAGGTGCGGGTAGAGGAGGAGGGCGGCGTGGGACAAGTCCCGGGTCGGGCCTTATAGAACAAAATTTGTGCCAAACAGTAAGTTTCAAATGCAACATATCGTAGATAGAGAATCGAAATGTCGATGCTGGGTTTTAAAGTCGGCGGAGAGCCGCTGTTGGGTCCCTTTCTCTTGTAGAACTGGGTTATTTGATCGTCTCCGCCATCTTGGTGTCTAAACGTCGCCTCTATGGGTGCAAGGTCTGTGTTTTGTCATGCTCATGTGGCAAATGTGATCACAAGATTTGAGGGTGCCCAAATGCAGCCATCACGACAGCGTTTCACATTCATGGAAAGCTGTCGGAAGTGGGTAAACGTTTCGTTGCGTGCACGATCACTGCATGCACCGGGAAAAGCGACGCGCCCATGACGTCATTTGTGTCTGCTGCATTCATACTTTGTTGGGCCACTTTATGGCAAATGGACTTGGCGATTTTGATTTGGTACCTGGTTGGGGTCATAAGCAACAACCAGGCCAAAGCTGCCTTACTTGACGGTGTCAGTACTTTCCTGTGGTCCACGCAGCGCTTGGGAACTAAGCGCCACAGCACCAACTGTACTCAGAGTAGATACAGGCGCACGTCCACAGGCACACGACAGATGAAGTATGACTAACCGGTGCTTCTTGAGATGTGCCTGTAGTATGTGGTCACCCCGCCCCAGACGACCGGATGGACCAAGAACCGAAACAGGGCGATCTCCAGCAAATTGCCCCCACTTGTGGCGACCCTGGCCACGATATTCCCGTAAACATGCAACTACAGAAGTTGTGTAAATTTTTTATGCCTCCGCACTGCACATTTGTATTTAATGCAATCGTGTATATCAATACATGAAATTCGAACATGTGAGGTGCTTATATTTTGATATTTCTGTCATCCTCTGTTTCATAGTTCTTGCTGTGTTGCAAGAAAACGGTGGTACCCCAGGTGCAGCGCTAAGATGACGCACTGGAGATGCACTGCTCAGAAGTGTGAACATATGCCAACTTGGCATACTGAGCATCCTATCAATGTTGCGAACCAAGTACCAATTAACCTGTTGCTTAATCCTACGGCAATGTAAATTCAAAGCAAAGTAGCTATCAATGGTAGCTACTCATCGTCATGATCATGCAATCGGCTTCTCAGTACAGTGCCAGGCATGCCGCCACCCTCGCGATCGACATTCAAAAAACGCTCCCTGGTGAGCAAAGATGCCACAAGGGTCAGTGTTCAACAGTACCACGTCCCATATTTCGAAACGGGGTCAAATTGAGGTAGAATATACTGGCGGAAGTGTCGACGAAATGCGATTAAAATGCTCCATCTTATCTGGCGGAAGTGGTGATGTGTCGATTGGATTTTGGAGGTCCTGCTCACCTGGGCAACGTGAGTCCCTGTAAAGCTACACTAATGTTCGATGATATTTGGTCAGTTCAGAATATCTCCCAATGCACAACTTGAATTTAAATCCGCTTAAACATGGTCAGAAACTGAGCCACGCCTTGAGTCTCTTATCCACGGGGAATGGCGAAATATTTCACCATTAATTCCAGCAGAAGACTCCGCCTTTATTTCTTTGATGACTTTTAGATACTCGGGGGCGCGTTCACCTGGGGAGAGCCGCTCCGTACAGGCTGTTGATGCAGATAGTGAGGGGCCAGACGGCCGCCCATTTAGCCACCATGACGGGGTCGTCGCCGCAGGCGCCCGAAACCACCAGCCCCGATGTGACAGCAGTCCCCGATGCCAGAAGAGCTGGCGACGCACCACAATGTTGCATTTTCTATGTTGCACTTTAAACAGATTTACCAAAAAATCCGGAACATATAATTGCTTCTAAGCACGGTGCCACCTGGGAGAATTCTCTGAGGTGTTTGGAGCGCAAATTTCGGTACTGTTGGACAGCTCTTAGGCGCTTTACCTCCCGCTTCTTTTTGACGAGAGCTACGACGTGCCAACGGCTTCGCAGCGTCATTTGAATTTTCAAATTTCGGTTTCAGTCCCGAAATATCGACCAAAATGTTTTGCCGAGCCCACTCCCGGAGCGCCTTCAGTCGGGAAATGGCGCCATGCTCAGGGCATGTGAGCACCCATCTCCTTATCCGTAATCAGGATATCCGAAACAATGAACATCCAATATAGTGGATATGCCGTTTCTGGGACAGGAGATATTAAACATTTAAAATTAAGCTGCAACATTAAGCTGGTGCATTAAGCTTTCCTGGGGTATTGAGACGCAAAAATTACGCACCCCGCTGCTGCGTTTCAGGCACTCCGAAGTACCGCAAATACAGGACTGTCTTTCAGTGTGCAAGCTTCCGCATAGTCAGCCAGAGAAAAAGCCACCAAAGCGCGCTTCAAGGACCCGCTGCTTTCTGCTTTGGCTCACCCAGTACCATAGCGAGCACGAGGTTGTCTGTTCCGCATCCGAAGGCCAGAGGCGCTCCAACCGTCGCGGCGACCGCTCCCGCGCCGAATGCAACGTACAACGCACTGGTCACGCGCTTCACCTCCCAAGCCTGCGGGGGCATTGTTTGTGCCTCATGTGGCAATCGTATGCCTGGAGAATTTGCCACTGATCATATCCTAATTGATAGCGCAATATTTCGTGTACTGCTGTAGTCCATCTTCCATGAAGTTGTGCCACAGAAAATGACTGTTCTTAGCTATCCAATTACATATGTGGTTGACTGACAAAAGTATGTTTTACTGCCTTCACGTTTGCAAGCATTTCAATTCTTTTGCGCATGTCATGAGGTCGCAAAAGTAATTAATTTTGTAGCAGTTGCCCTCGTTTTCACTTCTCAGGGGTTGGGCTCATGGAAGGGAAGGAAGCGGTAAAACTTAAAGAACAAACAATCTCGATCACGCTGCGTTTCTCACTATCTTTCCGAGAGGTCGAAATCAATCATGCCTTCAATTAATATGCGTGAAGCTGGATAAAACAAAATAAATTTAACGCTGCCTGCTTAGCCACCACTCGCTAGGAAAAGAAGTACAAATAAACGTGTTCAAACGTGCAACAAATTTACGTGTTTGGGATATTTTGTGTCCGTAGCGCGCAGAACTTTGATGAAATGTGTTTTTTTGTGTGTTCGCAAAAGTGCTGTTTGGTTCTTTTTTGGCTACTGACTGTGCCGTGAGATTCTCTGTTGAGGACGCTTTATCATGTGATTTAATTCAGAAACAGTCTCGCACGAAGTGGTACGATGCATGTGATACAATAGAGTATCCACTCCCGCTGGCGTAAAGCGGTATATTTTCGATGCCGACTGCGATGCTATTTCGATGCAAAGTGGCCGCGTCGCAGTGTTTGCGGTGGCACAAAAGGGGCTGCGGCAGCATCCATTTGTGCCAACGGGCATCGCGAAAAACTGCAGTCTACTGATATCCAACGCAACCCAGAATGCGCTATTGTATCGCATACAAAACTTACTGTGGCGCGCCATGCCAGTGACACAGGTATAGGCAGGCACAGGCAGAGGCAGACTTATAGGTGCGCCATGGCATTTGGTTTGGCAACGGCGTCCTAGGGGATCGCTCTCCAGAACCTCTGCTAGAAACCGTTCCTTGCGCTGCGCCGCATCTGAAAGCACAATTTCGCTCGGCACAAGGAAGTAGGTGCGAATGTGCATCAAATTGCATTCATCAAAACTGGGCTGCCAGCGAGTTGCTAGAAGTGTCTTTTGGCCCTTGGGGGCATGAGAAACGTCGTGGATCTGAACGAGCACACTTGCTAGGAACCACTGCTCGACGTCTCCAGCGTGAAGTAAGGGCTTCTGCGTTGTCAGTAATGCGATCAAAACGCAGCAATGAAATCAATGCAGTTTATTACAAATGTGCCATAAGTTTTGAAACCTTCCACATCGGAAAATTTTGCCGTTACGCTTTTTGCTCTCCATCTTGTTTCAGAGCTTCAGTTTGTTTTTCGACGTTGCTCCGCAAAAAATTTCATCGAAAGGGGGCCATTTATTTTATTGCTTTAATCGCAGAAAATGCCAAGGTTAATTTTGCCATGCGGAAGGGCTTAGAGCCCACGGGAATCAAAAGAGGAATGAAACACACACAGAGATATGGGGCCATGAGTGGATCGCCTGCTCACGTGCATGGTGAGGCCGTGAGCCGCCATGGCAGGAAGCATGACGGCCCACAGGTGTGAGGCAGACCACAGGAAGAGGGACGCGGACTGGGACCCTGTGGAGGTGCCGCTGGCTGGACGCCCGTAGATGCAGCGCGGCAGCGCGTCCCACTGGTGGCCTTCTTCCTGCAGGCAGCTGCCGCGCAATGAATGGATTGTGTTTTTTCGCCCGCATGGACGAAAAATGGAAAAACGAAAATCAAAAATTTAGAAAATCAGAAAAAGAAAAAGAAAAATTTGTAAATTGAAAAGTGAGAAATGAAAATTGAAAACACAGATTGTTTCAAAACTAGTAATGAATATGTTAGCAATTGTGCGGTTGAGCGAGCTGCCATTACTCTGAGCGGTTGCATCGGGCGCGGGTATGATTAATGTTCTGGGCGCTCAGTTTAGAGTATGCCACTTTACACAGGAGCGAATTTTGTTGGCGACTTATGCTGAATGCTTGCATTAACTAATTGCACGGACGGATGGCGCCGAGGGCATGCTAGCTTCAACTTTGCCGCCAAAGCTCGCCACAGACGCCCCAGAACGAAGTTGCAAATCATTACCACTCCCCTATGCATGAAAACTACAATTGCGTCATGCGCCTTCTCCTGTATTATACGCTCTGAGAGCGGCTCGTAGCGCTGGTTAACGCGAACTTTGGCACCTTTGGTGGTGTTTCATCACCAAGCTTAACCGCTGCAGAGGCCTTGCCGCGACGGTGGTCAGCCACAATGCTTGCAGATCACCAGCACATTCAGATGGGAAGGGCTCCACAACTGCTGCAATTATCACAAGAATCGATGCAATGGGTACACGCGGTATCACGTGACATGGTTCGTGATACAGCGCTGACATGCGGTTCGCTGATGCATAGTGCCTATTTATGCAATTCTTTCATTCACTGCTCAATGCATGGGATATGAGCGTGTTTTGGTCAAAGTGAAACTGTGGCGAAATGGGCTAATACTCCCCTCTTGGAAAATTTGTCCAATTGCGAACGTCTCCCTACGAGTCCAAACATATTGTGTTAAACAGAGGAAACGAGTGCAGAATCTTTTGTTGCGTGCACTCCCCTCCTCATAAACGGTACGTCCAGTGAATTAATTCAGTTTCAGTGACCGATCACTCTTATTATTTTCCTGGAACACGCGCATACATACAGCGAGCAGTGTTGAAATGGATCCAAGTCGACTGACAGATGGCATAACTGAGTGTATGGCAACTGCATTGCCTGCGCCATTCAAGCCCTGGTTTCCACGCACCTCGCTGTGGTCTATTGCGCCACTGCACAGGGCCCTGGGGACCGCCATTGCCAGCGCGAGTGCGAGCACCAGTCCCCACACGCACAAGGGCGCCGCGATTTGGAGCATCTCCCAATACACAACCAGCGTCGACTTAGGCCTGTCAAAAGCACAAGTTTCCGAATCGCAAGGCTCAGAAGTACCATATGTACAATCGATTACAAGGACGGCCTCAAAATTTCGAAACAAGGTTAATATCGAAGAGATTGGAACTCAAAACCCTTAAAATTTTTCAAGAAGAAAAGTGATATACGGCCCCTTTGAGGGTCAGGCGAAAGACAAGTTTTGGTACCTTTTGACCGCAAATATCGAAGTTTTCTAGGCAAAATAGCCATGATACAAAACACTGCCAAACCCTCAATAGACAATGGAATGACCTCAAATTTTGATAGCACACTCCAAAGTTACAAGCACGATTTTGGATGAAATTTAGTTGAAAAATGATGTGGTTTTGATGGAGAAATATTGGGACAAATTCATAAAAGGCAATTAAGTTGGGGCGGAGGAAACATTGCATCATTGATCGGGCGACCTGATTAGCGCTTTTTCAGTTGTCGCTGTTCCTTCGGTTCCGACGTTGGAAGATGGATCGCGACAGCTGCCCTCCGTATACACATCGGTTAGCAGTGCATGTGTACTTGCAATAAGTGAAATACGTAAAATACATGCGATATGTATTTCACTATTAGCAAACATAATGAGGTATTACTTACCTATTTTTTACCAATAACATCTCATTCACCATTTCAATAATCTAAATCAATATTTTACATACTTGCTATTATATATTCTGCATTCTAATGCTTTCAACTGCTATTTCGGAATTCTCTCAATGATCGTTTACCTCGCCACACTCATTTCCCCTCCCTGCCCCTCCCATCCACTGTCCTCGGAAGTAGGACTCGTCTGCCGGTAGGCGGCCGGATCCCTACCAGAAGACCTTTTAGTCATCCACCACCAACCGTCGCCTTTCCTGGCGCTGATGCTCTTAAACCTGCAAAACTGCAGCAATTGGAAATGTACTGGAAATGTGTTGGAAATGTCGTGCATCTTCTTTTGTGCAATACATGGAACACTGGTAAAAAGACGGCCAAAGTACGGGTCCTGAAAATCGTATACTGATCACAAAATACGCATCTGCTGCTGATACACGGATGAGGATCATGTAAAAGCGTGTTATCTATCGTGCTGTACATGGTGGTAAGGTGGGACACTTTCGTGTAATGCACAGGCTGATAGCTCCACGATTTTAGCAAT